TCTCTCTCTCTCCATCCCTCTCTCTCTCTCTCTCTCTCTCTCTCTCTCTCTCTCTCTCTCTCTCTCTCTCTCTATATATATATATACACAAACATGTTGGTTCATCCCTTCTGATTTCTCGGCGGCCTCGACTTTCGAGGGGGCGGCGACTTGGCCGATGCAGTTCAAAGCAATGTGGATCGCAGGATCCAATGGGGGTTGCTGGTGGCCAACAGAAATGGAAGACGCGGGCTCGGTCGTCGGTCGGTCGTGGAGGTCGAGCGGCTCGCAGGCGCCCTAAAGGCCCCGCTCCTCCGCCGCTGCTCGTTTTTGAGCCTCGGCCCCAGAGGAGACCTTGAGGCCCCTTGTTGGTCACTCTACCCTGGGCGGAGAGTCGCGGAGGATTGGATCCCAATTTGGACCGAGGTCTCCAGCGTTTCGGAGCAGGGGCCCCCGGCGCGGCGAGTCTCGCAGGGCCTCTCTCCAATCGCGGGGCATCATGTTTTGGAGGCAGCGGCTTCTTTTAGCCCTTCCGCAGTGTGGGTGGGGGCTCATTGGGCCCTGGGCTCCCGTTGCAGCTCCCCAGGCCATTGGCGGAAGCGTCAGCGTCCATTGTCACTCCGTGGGGCAGGAACCCAGAGGTGGGGCCCTTCTGGCCGGTCATGGTCGTCTTTCTAGACGAGCCCACGGGTGGGGCGAGGCCGATCGGCCCGCTGCAGTTGCGGGCTCGAAACTGGAGCCGCATCCGCCACAGACTGCGTGCAAAATGGGAGCGGGGTGTTGGCGATCAATTTATCTGGGGCACGAGCTCGAGCGCGGCGTGTGACAAAAGTGCTTGGGTGCACAGTGCGCTGGCTGCATGTGATCGAGAGGCCCCGGGCCTTAGCGCAGGCGCTTTATGCGCAGACCACATCAAGTTCTGTGAACGCACATCGCGCGCATAACTCTTGAGCGCGGCATGTTGCAGCGACTTTCTCTTGGCCCTTCTGAGAGCCTGCTGCAGCATGCATCGAGGGCCGCGGCGCGCGTCGTGGCACGGTGTCGCCAGCCGCATCATCCAGCCGAACGGCACGCTGATGGTTGATTTCTCGGGTGCCACAACGCTAGCCATGTTCCCACTCCTAGGTGTCCTTCGCATGTGGCGATTGGCTCGCCCACCGCATGTACTTCAAACGCGATCGATGATGTGTCGCTTCATGCAGTTGGCGGAGCGGCTGTCGCAGGAAGTGAGCTGGCCAAGTCTTTCAACTCCATCATTAGAGAATTCAAGCGCATGGGTTTGCCTGTGGCCCAGAACAAGGTAGGGCGACTGTCATCGTCGGCGGGGCTTGCTACCGAGTTGATGCGCAGCTGCCAGCTTCCAGACTTTGCGCTGTGCCAGGTCCACAGAGACCTAGGAGGAGATGCGACGAGTGGCCCCCGTCGCCGTGCCAGCACGCAGCACGGGCGTTCCTGTGAGGCACATGTAAACTTAGGTCGCATATTTGCTTTGAGGCAGGCGGGGGCTCTGTGTGGCGAGATTCTATAGGCTTACGCCACATCCGCCGAAATAACCAGGAGGCTTGTCCGATTCCTGGGAGGTTATTAGGGGGCGTTTGGGGGTTCTGTTCGGCCTCCCAGGAGGCTTCTTGGGGCGTGTTGGGGGCTTCTTGAGGCAACCTGGGCGCTTCCTGGGGCCGAAGGCTGGAAATGTGGGTTCGGGTTCACCCCGTGGGCCCCCTTTTGGCGCCGTCCGCGGGCCCTCTGGGGCCATCGTCGGGGTTTCTTGGGCGGTCTGGGTATTTTGGGCCGTCTTGCGCGGTATGAAAGCGCAAGGGGCGAATCTGTTTAAAACGTGCGTTTTCCGCCCGGAGCGGGGCAATGTTTGGTTTATTCGGGGTCTTTTGGGAGGCCTCTTGGAGACCTCTCGGGGCGTTTTGGAGGCGTCTTGGGCCGTCTGGATGCCATCTTGGGCGTCTTGGAACGATCGTTCGAGGATTCGGGGCCTCTTGGATCGTATGAGGGCAACGTTTTGGGGCCCTCTGTGCTCCCGCGGCGCGTTCGTCCGGGGCCGGGGGGGGGGGTCGAATCGTAGGAGTGGGGTCTTTGGGCGGGGGTTAAGGGGGGGTCATCTCGCGCGCCTGGAGATTCACGCGGGGTCGGCGGATTTTTCGCGCGGGCGCGACGTCCAGGGCCCCGCGGGGGGCCGACGCACAGGGGCCCCCCAGCGGCAAGCTCAAGAGGTTCCGCGCGGCGGCTTTAAGGGCAGAAGGTCGCTTGCCCAAAGGGCTCGCTAGACCTAGCCTCCATGTGCTCCAGAGGGGCGCGGTCTCGAGACCCATTGGTCTGGGTCGCGTCTGATGCGCTCCGCGCGCACTGCCGGGCGCTGCAAGATCAGCGCCTGGCCCCTGCGGTTCTAGAGTGGCTGCGAGGGCGAGGCCAACAGTTGCTGTCAGACGCGTCAGCGTGGGCGACAGTTTAAGACCCAGTCGCTGCGCCCCCCCCCGCGCGTGCCAGGGTGGGCTTCCGCTTTGTGGGGCCGTGGGCCTTGCCAGGGCCGACAGGTGAGCAGCGGGGCCTCCGCGCGGTTTCGCAGTCTCCCGCCGCCTGCAGGGCCGCCTTCGCAGCCAGGAGGTTTGCTGACAGGGCTGGCCTGGCCAAGATTGGCCAAGGCAGAGGTTGGCGAGGCGATTTGTTCAGGGGGCCGCTCAATGAGTTGCTGCGCGCGAGGCAGGAACCGCAGGGGTAGGGAGAGGCTGCTGACGGGACTTGAGGGGGGGAGATCAACGCGTCCTGCACGGCCTGGTCATAGGCTCGCACTGGGCCTAGTTCCGCCTGCATGGGCATGGTTCCCAGCGGCCGAGCCACTGCATCATGTGTGGGGAAGTGCCAGGGACCTCTTCCCACCGCCATTTCCGATGCCCAGCGCGCCAGGGTTGGAGGCGAGTTGCCTTGCCCGCGGCGCTGGTCGAGCCTGTCGGCAGGATTGCCACGTGCACGACTGAGCTGCAAGAGAAGCTTGCACGCGGGGCCCTCCCTGATCCGTGCCAGGCGTTTGCGCGACCTGCTTGGGACTCCAGTTGGGAGTTCAAGGCTGAAGGGTGCGCGGCGCCGTTGGCGCTTGAAGATGGCCATGTGTTTTGTGATTAATGAGGGATATATGGGCTGTTCCCGTCTTTTTGCGTGGCGGGCTGGGGTGTAGCAGCGCGCGACAAGGAGCTCCGCTACCAGGCGGGGCGGCGCGGGGCTGCCCCCCCCCCGGGGGGGTTGCCCAGACCGGGTGGCTCGAGATGGAGAAGACTTCGCGCGATCCAGATGGCGTTGCGGCACCTGCTGGGCGCAGAGGCACGCTGCAGTGTTGTTGGGGCCCAGGGTTAGCCAAGAGGTCATCGAACATCCGTTCCCACCGTTGGAAGCGCACGTTCACAGATGGATGTCCGCCAGGGATTGATTTCAAGATGGTTGAAACGCGCGCCAGTACGAATGACGTGCGCGAGGGGCGCATCACGCTCCTTGACCGCGAAGGTGACAAGTTTGCCGACATATTGGCCTAACCAGGAGCTAAGCTGGCGATGAGACACCCGCCCGTTGGCCTGCCGTCGAAGGGCGTGCTTTCCTGGGCAAGAACCCGGTTCTAGAAGCCCACTGCGCAGACCTAGGAGTTCTTGATTACCTGGGACTCCAGGGTTTCACCATAATCTCGTTGGAGGGTGATGCTGAGATGGAGGGGCTTTGGAGGGGTTGCTGCTGCTGCTGCTGCTGCCCCCCCCACCAGACCCTTCCCCGGCGGCGGGCAGTCCGAGCGAGCGTGCGTGCCCGGAGCTGACCTCGGTGGCCCTAGACAAGGACCGCGCACCCTGGGCTTCCAGGGGGCGCGTGTTGCTTGAGTTTGAGGTGGCGGCCGAAGGCCAACCGCGAATTTTGCCATGCTCCAATTGTGGGGGCCATGCTACAATTTCGCTCGGCCCCAGAGGGCTCCGTGATGCCTGCATCGGCTCCCAGAGGGCCTTGGTGGACCCTGGCAAGAAGTACGCGAAGGCTGTTCCAAAGGGCAAGCACCCTAACAGAGTCTCGCAGATGGGCCCCTGGAGGACTCCCCGCGGTGCGGCTCGTGAGTTGGCGGGGGGGGGGGGGGGGTCTTGGAAAGGTCCCAGGGGCCCAGAAGCGAGAGGCGAGACAAGGGCTAGACTGTCGCCAGCCTGTTTATGTTTGCTTGGCAGACGTTCTTCGAGCCTTTGGGCTGAGCGAGCTCGAAGCGCGACCCCTTGGAGAGCTGAGCAAGCGCCCTGAAGACCAAGGGCTCGACGCTGACTCCGGGTTCTGAGAGATCCTCCAGGGGGGCCCTGTCGCGGGCCGTGGGCAGGTCTACGGCCGCCCTGCCTGTGGTCGACAAAGGTAGACTCGGATGGGCCCCCCTGGGAGGTAAAGTTGTCAGATTGTCGTTTCCTCCTCCTCCTCTTCCTCCGTAGCCATTGTGGCTCAAGGAGATCCTGCTCTGTGCTGCTTGCTCTGAGCTCCTCCACGGCGCGGCGCGCGGCCCTTGGCGCGCGCGGCTATTCTTCCCGCCGCTGCGATGCCGCGTGGGGCGAAATGTGGCTTCACCGTCAGACATGGCGTGTCGACGGCTACGGCCCCGACGGTGGAAGCCGCAGCAGCACTCATGTTGCTGCTGCAAGCTGGGGCGGCGCAAGGCGGTTCCTCGCCAGCGCCTGCCGCGGCGGCTGCGGAGGCGGCGTCAGGGGCCGAGGCGCTGACGGCCCTAGGAGGAGAGGCGCAGCGGCTGCTTGGCGTGGCTGCGTAACTCGTCGCGGTGTTGGGCGGGGCCACGCTGGCCGCCCGCCTGGCCCCGGTGCCGCGGCGAAGGCCGGCGCCCGCCGCCCCGCTTGGAGAGGGCCTGGCGCGCGGTGGACGCGGCAGCCTCCATGCTCCGTCATCCTGGTGCAGGGGCTGAAGCGTTGGCCGCTGCGCGCGGCTGGGTGGAGTCGCACTCCGAGGCGGAGGGCCAGTCCACGCCCATGGACGGACCCACGGACAAGCTCGTGGATTGGGCGCCGCTGGTGGAGGCTGACTCGTCGAGTGCTGGCGAAGCCGTTCGGGCAGAAGGTGAGCTTCGTGATGGTCGTGACGAGCTTCGTGATGGTCGTGACCTGCTTCGTGGTGGTCGTGATGGTCGCGACGAGCTTCGTGATGGTCGCGACGAGCTTCCTGACGGGCTTCGTGACGTGTTTCCTGACGGGCTTCGCGATGGTCGCGACGAGCTTCATGATGGTCGTGACGTGCTTCGTGATGGTCGTGATGGTCGCGACGAGCTTCGTGATGGTCGCGACGCGCTTCGTGATGGTCGAGACGAGCCTCACGATGGTCATGATGGTCGCGACGAGCTTCCTGACGAGCTTCGTGATGGTCGCAATGAGCTTCCCGACGCGCTTCGTGACGGTCGCGACGCGCTTCCTGACGGGCTTCGTGATTGTCGCGACGAGCTTCGTGACGCGCGTCGTAATGGTCGCAACGGGCTTCGTGATGGTCGTGGCGAGCTTCGTGATGGTCGCGTCGAGCTCCATGATGGTCGTGACGGGCTTCCTGCTGATGACGGCGTTGCGATACTTGGCGGTGGCAAGCTACCTGGGCCAGTTCATGGTGCAGCAGTTCGAGCTGAAGGTGGTCTACGAACGTCGTGGGCGGATGCCGAGTTCGGCCCTGGAGACGAGCTCCGCGACGCCGCGAACGACGGGGAGTGCCACAGCGTGCACGGCATGCCGACGGAGGAGATGGCGGAGGGCATGCGGGTCGCGGTCATCGAGGCCTTCAACACGGTTGCGGGCAGACGGGTCCGTGTCCCTGCCGGGCTCGTCGGGACCGTGGTGCAAGCCGCTAGTCCCGCTGATCATCACCCAGTGGGACGAGCCGATGCGCCTGCGGGGAGTCGGCGCTTCGCCGATGCCGCGTGCGCAGTGGAGAATGCTGAAGGTTGTGAGCGCACAGGGCATATCTAGTTGATATGTGTGCTCCGCTCTGCCTCGGTGCGGCCCCGCTCCGCCCTGCTGGATTCGCATCGTCGTTCTGGTTGTGCTTTGGGGGGGGGGTCTCTGGGGTTGGTTTTCGCCCGTGGGGCGATGGCTAGCCCCTTCTGGGTTGGGGCGGCCTCGGGGGGCCGCTGGGTGGTCGCCCGTCCGTCCCCGCGGGGGTGGCGTTCCTGCTGCACGGGCCGTCTTCGGAGGGCCTAGGCGGCGGGAGTGCCTGTCTGGGCGCTCTGGTCTTCTGGGTTCCTGGCCCCTCGTCGCCTTGGGCTGCCGTGGCGTATGTTTCCATCGACAGCTTAATTGACCCAGCTCTCTTTCTGTGGTCACTGTGCCAGCTGCACGAGTCCCTTGCCATGCAGTCTGGCTTCCCTTCCGCGATTGTGGAAGGCCCTCCATATCCAGATAAAGTCCCGCGCTTCGGTCACCACCCGTCGCGCCAAGCTGTGCGCACCTCCTCCTCCTCCTCCTCCTCCTCCTCCCCTTCTCCTCGAAACCCCCTCACCTCCTCCGCTCCGATCCAATGCCTCCTCCTCATCATCATCATCAGTCCTCTTCCTCCTCTTTGATCCTCCTCCCCCTCCTCCTGTTCGATCCTCCTCCTCGCTCTTCCCCCTCATCCATCCTCCTCAGTGCGCGATCCTCGGCCCCCGCTCTCCTTCCCACCCCGCTGTGCAGGCGGCGTGGGCGGCCCGATGCAGCAGATCGGTGGCATGCTGGGGCTCCTCTGCGCGCCCCAGCAGGCCGCCCCCAGCGAGGGCGTTGGTTCCAAGGCTCCTCCTCCGCCTCCTCCTTCCTCCCCGTCCCCTACCTTCTCCCCCCCTCCACCTCCTCCACCTCCACCACATCCTCCACGTCCTCCCTCCTCCCTTCTCCTCCACCTCCACCTCCTCCACCTCCCCCCTTTCCCTGCCCCTGCCGCGTGGCCCCGGGGCACACGGGTTTGTCGCGATTTATGGTTCGCCGAGCCCTGCGGCGGCGGACGCGTGGCGGAGGAGGTAGGCAACAGAGGGGGAGAAAGGAGGAGGAGGAGGAGGAGGAGGAGGAGGAGGACGTCACGATAAGGATATGGACCGTTGGGTGCCTCTTGCCCCAACTGCCTGAAAGCGAGGTGGACCCCGACGCTACAGTATGCATGCAGGCCCTGAACCAGTAGGCTCTTAGGGGCTGCCTGGGGCGAGTCCCCCCCTCCTTTGGGGCGGGGAGGGCTGCCCTCTTGGCGGGGTGCCCCGCTTCGGTATCAAGAGTCCGTGCCTCCTCTTGGCTCCCGTTGGCTGCCTCCTGTTGGCTCCCGTTGGCGGGCGGCGGTGGCTGTCTCCAGTTGGCGCCACCCCCCCGGCAAGCGGCAAGGGACCTGCTGTCACGAGGTCCTCTACCCCCCTCCTCACCCGCCCCCCCCACCTACAGGAGAGAAGGGGCAACAACACGGTACCTTGTCATGCCTATCTCGGGCCTCTCAGCTTGGTTCTGGCGCACCTCACTGGCTGGGCCCACTTCTGCTGGGGATGCCCCAGGAGAACACGTCTAAGCAACTGCTGCGAAACGAGAATACGTCGTAAAAGGCTGCTGGCTTGCCTCTCTGGGGCTTCTCAGTTTGTCTGGCGCACCGCACTGGCTGTGCCCGCTTCTGGCGTGGCCCCTTTTGCAAGGGCTGCTGGCAAGATTTGGCGGCTAGAACATCATCTGGCCTACAACATAACTCCCAGTCCGAACTCTGATGCCGTTGTGAACTGGGGGTCGTGCATGCGGAGGTCGCCTTGCTGGGACTGCTGCGCAGGCATCGTGTTGTGCTGCTGCTGCTGCTGCTGCTGCTGCTGAAGTCTCGGCGGCTCACTCAGTGTTCCAAGCGTGGGGAAGCCCGTATTGTAGTCTAGTCCTTCCACTCGAGAACTGGTGGGGACGGGCTGGCGCACGTCCACGTCGGGCGAGGTGTCTGCAGATGCTGGGCAGTCATTATCTTGCTGTTCGTGGGCTCTTTGCGCTGCTCCTCCTACACGCCAGTCGTTGAAAGTAGGTATTTCTAGATTCCCAGATTCCAATCTACTTTAGGTGCCTTCCTACTTCAAGAATTGAGAGGGCCTCCTTCCGTCCTCTTCAGGGGGCGGGCGGAAGCCCAATGTACTTTCAGCGCCTTCCTGCTTCATGCTTCTACCCACTTCTTCCGACAGGCGTGTACTGCGCGATGTCGTAGCCCCACCTGCTCGAGCTGTTGGCCAACCCTCGTGTAGACCCTGTCGAGCTCGTCCGCCGGGCGCCGCGCCCAGTCGAGCTCCCACGGGGAAGGGCCAGTCGTCGTGCTGCTGGGGCCACCCATATACCAACTGCCGACCTCGACGCGGCGATCCCCCTGGTGGTCGTGTCGATCTGGACCTCGAGGATCTCCATGACCTGCATCCTCTCCAAATCCTCCCAGTGGTGCAAGCTGGACGATGCGGTCAGCCTTTCCAGGCTTGTGAGCTGGCGCTCGCGCTGGCGGCACAGGCCGTCGAGCACGTCGTTTGCCATCTTCTTGTGCTCGCCATAGAGCTCGGCTGTGGCCTGCATGTTGTGGTGGGCCTCCTGCAGGCGGCACGCCATGGTGCCGCAGATCTTGTTGCGGTCCTCTTCTCTGAAGTGTAGCTGTCCGCCTCCCTTAGCCTGGGAGACCCCACCACTGGTTCCTTTGCCGCCAGGTGCTTGTGCACCAATGCCGTCCATCATCGTAGCTCGCGTGCCCCTCATCATGGCAGCCCCTTCGGGTTCTTTTCTGGTGATGAGAGTCCGCATTATCTCCCTCTCACCTTTCTCCTCTTCTCCATACCTCTTCGCCCTCACCCTCCGTTTTCGCTGTTCCAGCGTTCCTCCTTTTCCTCAGTAGCGTTTCGCTCGAGGGTTCTAATGGGGGGTAGGAAGCGACCGCTGAAGAGCCCCACCAGGGGGGGGCGGGGAACGCTAGCTGCGCCCGGCAGCCGCGTCGCTTGAGACATCCGTGCAGTGTACACACGTGTTCCAAACTCGTGTTCTAGTTCACTTTGGTGCACACGGTCGTGCTGTCCCCCAGCCCTAGTTGCTCCCATTTTTTAAACTACATACTAAAAACTGATATCGATATGCCGATATTTCGGGTGTTCTGCGGGGGTAGATCAACCTGCCGCCTCCCCCCAACTCCCCACTCGTCTAGTCCTCCTTCCACTCCTTCCCCTTCCCCGCTGCATTTCCCGTCCTCCCTCTCCCTCCCTCCCCCTCCCCCTCCTCCTCCTCCTCCTCCTCCTCCTCCTCCTCCTCTCCTTCCTCCTCCTCCTCCTCCTCCTCCTCCTCCTCCTCCTCCTCCTCCTCCCTCCTCCTCTCCTCCTCCCCTCCTCCTCCTCCGGCCTCTCCTCCTCCTCCTCCTCTTCCTCCTCCTCCTCGTCCTCCTCCTCCTTCTCCTCCTCCTCCGGCCTCTCCTCCCTCTCCTCCTCCATCTCTTCTTCCTCCTCCTTCTCCTCCTCCTCCTCCTCCTCCTCCTCCTCCCTCCTTTCTCTCCTATTCATGCCCTCCTTCCTCCTCCCTTCAGGTGAGCAGCGAGGACGACTCCGATGCAGATCCGCTGGCGGAGGACGGGAATGAGGCAGCGCTGGGGTACGAGTAAGTCGATCGAGAGCCCTGTGGAGCGTCCTGAGTGCATTCCAGAGCGCTTCGGAACGGCCGCAGCGCCTGACTCATCCTCAGGGCTATCCGGCTCTCAGGGACCCTTCCCATTGATGAGCAGTTTTCGGGGGGCGCTGCGCGGCCAAGCCCGAGGGCGCGGGCTGATCCTGTCTCATCGCTGGAGACGAGCGGCAGGCTGCACCAAAGGTCGCCCTTGCCTATTCCTAATGGCATGATGATCATGGGGCAGGGTCGACTAACTTTCCCGCTGAGCGTCCCCATCCTATCTCTCTCTCTCTCTCGAACGCGCCAAAGCGCGCGTCCAAAATTGTTTCTCTCTCTCGAACATGCGCATGCACACCGCATCCTCCTGACATGGCCTCCGCATCTCAGGCGGGGCTACGACGAGGATGAGTCCGTTCCAGAGCGTTCCTGGACGCTCTGGAAAGGCCGCGGCGCCAGAGACATTTTCCAGAGCCGCCCGTTTTCGAGGACTTCCGATTCATCCTCGTCCAAAGGTGTCACCGTCCTGGCTTCGTCTCCCTGTCCCTACCCACGAGCCCCATCCCCGGGCCAAAACTGCCACCTCCCCCAGCTTAGGAGTGGTTCCACCCGGCAGGCGGCCGGGGCCCTCTGGGCGAAGAGTCGCTGGGATCCCTCGGGGGAAGGCTCCAAGTTGTGTCTGGGCATTCCCGGAATCTCCGGAAAATCTTTGTGCTCCAGAATTCGGAGAATTCGGCAGAATTCGGCAGCTCGCCTCCAGAACATTTACGTAATTAACCTCTTCAGCAAAGCTTCGGCGTGCAAATACATTCAACATTCGGATTCTCTCCAGCAGTGAGCATCAGCAGGAAACCCTCAGGGTAAATTTCGTTGATAGTTTTTTTGAAGAGATGATGCTTTGGAGATTAGCCAGCATATTTGTCAAGTATAACCGTGTTTGGGAGATTCGCTGGGACATTCTGAAGGCGGGAAGATATTCTTCTTGAGATTCGCTGGGATAAGTTCTGTAAGTTGGAGACTTGCAGGAATTCGCGGAAAATTTGTACGAGATTCTCGGGCGGTCGCCTTTACCATACTCGACCCAGTCGATCCTTAGATTCATACCCTCTCCAGCCCCCCCGCCTCGATCCAGCCCCATCCCCCACTCAAAGCGGTGATGGCGACGACGACGATGATTCCACATCTAGAGCACGGTCACGTGGGTCAGCGCAAGGACAAGGACAAGGACGACGACCAATACGAGGACGGGGACGACACGGAGAACGACGAAGACGAGATAGACGAGGCGGACGACGAGGGCGAGGGCAACGACGAGGACAAGTACGAGGACGTTAACGAGGACGAAGACGAGTGCGATGAAAGCGAGGACGAGGACGAGGACACGGACCGCGAGGACGACGACTGGCGCCGCGCGTCCTTCTTTCTGTCCCCTCCCCATTTCTCTTGTCCTTTCCCACCCCATCACTCGCCCCTCCCCCTTGCCCCCCCCCCACCCACTCGTGGTTGTCGTCGTTCTCGTCCTGCACTCGTCCTCGTCGTCGTTGTCGTCCCGCCGCCAACGTTAACGTTAACGTCAACGCCAACGCCAACGTCAACGTCGTCGTCCTGGTCTTTGTCCTCGTCCTCGTCGTCATCCTCGTCGTCGTTGTCGCCGTCGCTGGCGTTCACCCGATGTCTCACTGCTTTCTTGGAAGTTCTTCGGGGAATCCAGCGTGTGCCCTGGAGCTTTCATGGGGCGTCGGAAGCGGAGTGGCGAGTGAGCTGGTTTCTATCTGGGCGCCGCCATGCCATCACCATCCGCCATGTCATATCCATTTCCAGGCCCCTCTTTCCATCCAACCAGCCCGCCGTCCAATCCCCAGATCCCCTGGAGGGTGAACTGCGGGGATGATATGAGGATGACTATAATAATACTTGTGTTGATGACCATGGAGGGTGGAGAAAGATGTTGCGGACGAGGAGGATGAGGATAGGCAGTGGGGGGGGGGGCTATGAAGGATGATCGGGGCGGAGTTGTAAAGAGGGGAACGGCGGGGGAGGGTGGAGGGAGGTGAAGAGGGGTAGGAAGAAAGGCTGATGAGGAGGAGGCTTCTCAGTTCTGGCACTGCCGTCTTTCCACTCCGCCCCATCCTGCCTTCTTGTTCTGCGTTCCCCCTCCTTCATTCTCGTTGAGTTTTGAATGGGAGGCTCGAGGCCGTCTCGGATGGCCGTCCGCACAGGGAAACAAGTCGTTGTCGTCATCTTCCTCATCGTTGTCGACGTCGTCGCCGCCGTCGTCTTCGTCGTCCTCATCCTTCTCCTCATCGTCGTCGTCGCCGCCGCCGTCGGAGTTCACTATAAAGAGGCAGAATGGGAATGGAAGACGGCGTGGGAGGGCAGGGGCGAGATTGCAGGCAGGGATTCCCTGCCTTGCCCCTCCCCCACCTGCAGCGCCATACCTGCGGTCACCCACGCCAGGCAACCTTGCGCCACCCCGTTCCTCCATCTCGCGCCCCATCCCGCATCACCCCCCCCCCTCGCCCACCGCCGCACCTCCATTCCCCCCTCCCCCCCCCTGAGACTGCCGCCGCCATTCGCCCCCCCCCCCCCCCCCGGACCCAGAAACTTGAGCTTCAAAACCGCCCCCCCCTCCCCCACCCGACCCCCTCCCGACGGCACACGCCCATCCCGAGGGGTGGGGTGGGGGATTATTTATGCCATCTGGGATAGGGCCACCTCTTGCGTGCAGTCGAGAGTTGTTCGTATGGAACTTTCTGGCATCCTGCTCTCAGCCTCACAGGAGCACGTGCTCGTGCCGCTGACCCCGGCTGTGCTGAAGGAGAGCATGGACGCCACTGCCGCGGGCATTCTGCCATGGGACGGCCGGCGATTCAGGAGAGTGAAGCAGCTTCAGGATGCCAAGAGAAACCATGGCTGCGTGGAGCTCATGCGCGAGGGCAGCACCTTCATGGCTGTTAAGAAGATGCCGACGAGATGGATCCGTGGCTCGCCGGACGAGTTCATCGCACGGTACCCAGACTCCTCCGAGCAGCCCTGGATGGACGTGGGACTCGTCAGGCACCTCAACCAGATTAGATACCCATACTGCGTGAAGCTGCTAGGCGTCTTCGTGGACAGCTACAGCACTTATGTGGTCAGCTCGCTGGCGTCCGAGGGCGACCTCTTCGCCTGGTGCGACCGCGACCCGCAACCCGGCCTGGAGAGAGAGGCTGCGATGTACCCTCTCGTGTACCAGATTTTTGATGGAGTGAGGTGCCGGCCAACGAAGAAGCGACACACACACACACGCACATGCACACGCACACGCACACACACACCCACACCACACACCCACACCCACACCCACCCCCCCCCCCCACCACCCCCAACCCCAACCCACACCAACCCCACACCCACACACCCCACACCACACCCACGCCCACGCCCACGCCCGCACGCACGCACGCACGCACGCACACACACACGCACACACGCACACACGCACACACGCACACCACGCACACACGCACACACGCACACACGCACGCCCGCACGCACGCACACACGCACACACGCACACACGCACACACGCACACACGCACACACGCACACACGCGCACACACGCACACACGCACACACGCACACACGCACACACGCACACACGCACACACGCACACACGCACACGCACGCACGCACGCACGCACGCACACAGCACGCACGCACGCCACCACACACACACAACACGCACACACGCACACACGCACAAAATACACACATACACACAACACACAAACACACAAACACACAAACACACAAACACACAAACACACAAACACACAAACACACAAACACACAAACACACAAACACACAAACACACAAACAACACACAAACACACAAACACACAAACACACAAACACACAAACACACAAACACACAAACACACAAACTCACAAACACACAAACACACAAACACACAACCACACAAACACACAAACACACAAACACACAAACACACAAACACACAAACACACAAACACACAAACACACAAACACACAAACACACAAACACACAAACACACAAACACACAAACACACAAACACACAAACACACCCAAACACACAAACACACAAACACACAAACACACAAACACACAAACACACAAACACACAAACACACAAACACACAAACACACAAACACACAAACACACAAACACACAAACACACAAACACACAAACACATCAACACATCAACACATCAACACATCAACACATCAACACATCAACACATCAACACATCAACACATCAACACATCAACACACCAACACACCAAACACACCAAACACACCAAACACACGCACACACGCACACACGCACACACGCACACACGCACACACGCACACACGCACACACGCACACACGCACACACGCACACACGCACACGCACACACGCACACACGCGCACACGCGCACACGCGCACACGCGCACACGCGCACACGCGCACACGCGCACACGCGCACACGCGCACACGCGCACACGCGCACACGCGCACACGCGCACACGCGCACACGCGCACACGCGCACACGCGCACGCGCACGCGCACACGCGCACGCGCACACGCGCACACGCGCACGCGCACACGCGCACTCGCGCACACGCGCACACGCGCACACGCGCACACGCGCACACGCGCACACGCGCACACGCGCACGCGCGCACACGCGCACACGCGCACACGCGCACACGCGCACACGCGCACACGCGCACACGCGCACACGCGCACACGCGCACCACGCGCACACGCGCACACGCGCACACGCGCACACGCGCACACGCACACGCACACGCGCACACGCGCACACGCGCACACGCGCACACGCGCACACGCGCACACGCGCACACGCGCACACGCGCACACGCGCACACGCGCACACGCGCGCACACGCGCACACGCGCACACGCGCACACGCACACGCACACGCACACGCACACGCACACGCACACGCACACGCACACGCACACACGCACACACGCACACACGCACACACGCACACACGCACACACGCACACACGCGCACACGCGCACACGCGCACACGCGCACACGCGCACACACGCACACGCACACGCACTCGCACACGCACTCGCACACGCACACGCACACGCACACGCACGCCACGCACACGCGCGCACACACACGCACCACACACACAAACACACAAACACACACACACAAACACACAAACACACAACACAAACACACAAACACACAAACACACAAACACACAAACACACAAACACACAAACACACAAACACACAAACACACAAACACACAAACACACACACACAACACACAACACACACACACAACACACAAACACACAAACACACAAACACACAAACACACAAACACACAAACACACAAACACACAAACACACAACACACACAAACACACAAACACACAAACACACAAACACACAAACACACAAACACACACACACAACACACAAACACACAAACACACAAACACACAAACACACAAACACACAAACACACAAACACACAAACACACAAACACACAAACACACAAACACGCACACAGACACACACACACACACTCACACACACACACACACACACATCAGGTCACTTTGAGAGGTCCACGCGGATTTCCTGGGCTGGCGCTCGGGCCCCTGCCCCCATACTTGCCCCTGGCGGCGCTTATGGTGCCTTCCCTGGTGCGCTCCGCGCGCCGAGGAAGGGATGGGAGGAGCAGAAGCAGCGCCGACTCGAGACATCCGCGCGGACCTCCCACCATTTCTATCTTATGATGTGTCTGTCCAAGGTTGCTGCACCAACTTGGCATCGCTCATAGAGATCTGTCTCTGGAGAACCTGCTGCTCAACAACGAGAAGGGCGTCCTGAGGATCAAGATCATCGACTTCGGGATGTCCACGATGAGCCGGCTGGTGTCGGGGGAAATCAGGGGAAAGCAGTCGTACCAGGCCCCCGAAATGCATCTCCCGCAGCCGTTCGACACCTTTATGACAGACCCATTTTCCCTCGGCGTGGTACTATTTGCCATGGGCGCGCAGGACTACCCCTGGAGCTCTACCAAGCGGAAGACCTGCGAGCTGTTCGAGTACGTCTGCATGTTTGGCTTAACTAAGTTTCTGAGCAAGCGCCGGCTGCGCAAGGGCAGCGGCGAGTGTTTGGCCGATGTATTCTCCCCGAGTTTCACGGCAATGTTGGCGGGCCTCCTTGATAAGGATGTGGGGAAGCGGTTCACACTTGGTGACAGGTATTCTGGTACGACCGCTGGCAGCGGTTCTGCTCTGCGGAGGAGTGTGTTTGATTCCGAGTGGATACGACATCACGTTGCCGCAGCAGGGTCCCAGGGCACGAATTCTGCCGTGCGAGTGTCCATTTGATAAGTTCGCGCATTGCGCGTGTCGACGGACGGACGGAGTCAAGCCAAGTACTAACGGGAGGTGCAAACCGTGCGCCTGAGCTTAATATATTTGGCACAGTTTTCCGGCCACGCAGTTTTCCGACCACCGATTTTTTCAAGAATCAGGATGCATCGATGTCCATCATATTGCGGTATAGTGCCGTATTTGGTTGTCGAACATGACAGCTAAGGTAAATCCTTCGGGCGTTCTGCTGAACACACCTGAGACGCCACCGCCAACTTTTGTGGCGCGCATGCCCTGCTTCCTCTGTCCTCCCTGCCCTTTGCTTTTGTCTAGAAGGGCTGCACCTGGACCACGCCGTACGTCAATCTGGTACATTAGTCTCCTGCCATTGTGTGGTGCAGTCTCGAAGGATCTGCAAGCGCACCAGCCCCCCACACGCGCATATCCTTCCCGTACGTTCGCCCTCCTCCTTTCCCACACCCGCCGTTTCCAGATTGCGCGGCCGATGTCGCACGCGGCTTAGAGTGGAGTGCAGCTCTACAGCGCCGGAAGGTCACCTCAGAGTGCTTCACTAAGACAGAGGCATTCACTTCCCTGGGTTCCGCTTTCAGATGCAGCAGCCGGCGACCTCCAAAACATGTGCTGCCATCACGTTGCTGCCGTTGCCGTTGGGACGGCCATCAAGGAACCACTTGTATTCAGCGTGGATCGCCCTGCGCTCCAGCGGATCAGAGGGGTTTGAATTGAGATCTGTCAGGGGTCCCTGACCCTTGCTTGGTCCATCAAAACGGTAAGGCTAACAGTAAGAGTTTCCGCGTGTAGACTAGACGCTTATTGTAGAGGCTCCCTGCAACCGAATACCCACTGCAGCTTCTCTCACTCTCTCTCTCTCTTTTTCATTTTCCGTTTTCGCTCTCTTCCTCTCTCTCTCTCTCTTCTCTCTCTCTTTCTCTCTTTCTCACTCTTCTCACCCCTATTGGCGGCACATTCGGCCAGGAATGTTTTCTTTGCGAGGAGATTCAAATTCCCAATGTTCTGCGAGATTCTCGGAGGGCACGTGTCCAAATCAGTGGGTCCGTACAGATCCTGGGGGTGGATGCCCGTATGCTCGTATACGGGGGCACGCCGCCCAGCTTCGCTGCGGGCCCAGGGCCAGGGCTGTGCCTCTTCCCAAGAGGCCTCGGGGTTGCCTTGAACAATCTCCCAGAGGCGCCCACGGTGGCCTTTCGGGAGGCCCAACGGGGCAACGGAAACGAACGAGACCCCGAGGAGTAACCGTGCCGTTTGCTCCATAGGGTTTTCGGCTTCAGATTGCCTCGGGGAAGCTCCATCGAGCCCCCGAGAAGCCCCCGAGACGGCCCACAACGGGCCGAAAGGGTCCATCCCTTCGTTGTCATGCTCCGCCTCCTGCCCCCCTTCGCTTTACCATTCAGGAGCGGCACCACGCGGTCTTCCTGCCCTTTCGAGGCTGGACTCGGATCCTCTCTGAGGTCGGCCACCCCCCCTGTCTAGAAGTCCTCGTGTTGGGCACTGCCTGTTTCTCTCCCCCGGCTATGTCCTGGCGTGCGTCCTCCCCTCCCGCGTAGTTGTCTTTTCCTATCTTCCAAGTACGAGCCTGTTGTTATGAGGTCTATGCCTCCACCCCCCCCCCTCCACTCCTATCAGCATCTTTTTCCTGCCCATACTCACATTCAGACCCACTTGCGCCAAACTCACTCGCGCTCGTGCTCGTTCACACTCAGCTTCGAACGAACGCTCACACAGGCTCAGACCCCCTCATACTCGTACGATCAAGAGGCGTATTCACACTTCGAATCTGGTCTCACTCAATCACCTGTTGCCACCAATTCATGCTCAGAAAACTCGCACCCCGACTCACTCGTACCCAGTTTCGCGCTCAGATTCCCTCATACGCAGTCGCTTTCACGTGCAGACCCTGCCCCTGAATACAGGGATATAGTTTCTCAGTTCGTAAGTGTGGGGTCCTTGTTACCCATATCTCAAGTATGGTGTGCCCTCTCAGGCCTACACGTATTCCCACCTGCTCACATTGTGAGATTTGCCGCCGGCTCGTACCCATTCATGCCCACACCCAATCTGACCGAGGCCTGGTCGCGTTCATACCCGCTCATGCCCAGACTATTCCACTCTTCACCCACCCTCAGGCCCACTCGTGCTCAGATTTACTCCTCCTCACGCACAATCGCGTTAATACTTTGTCTGTCTTTTGCCTGCTCATAATTCGGATCGTTCGTATTATTCGGACTCATTCACGTTCAGAGGCATTCTAGCTCGCAGATCTAGCAATACTCAGGCTCACCCATACGCAAGCTCACCGCGATGTGGCAGTCATCGCAGCTGGGCCTCATCAGGGGGGCTCAACTGAGGGTATCGCACAGGCCGTCTCGAGTCCAACTTATCAGCACCTCCTGGCATAGTTGACTTGTTTCGTGGTGTTATTCGCTCTGGGCATATATGCATGTTTGCAGGTCGGGTGGGTTCACGTGTCTCCCTGCAGATCCCCTTGATCCTCGCGATGCGGCAAGCACGGCCCCTGCCTCCCGAGGTTGTGTGGAGCCGAGGTGCCTCGCACGGCCCCTCCGCGCCGAAGCTGCCGAGACCAACCCGGCACCGCTCTGGAAGGGGTCGAGGTGGGGCTCTTTCTCGGAAGCCCGTGGCCATCGCGACGCAGCACGCATGGCAGCTGGGCCCCCCCACAGGTGTCTCGACGCGGGGGGCTCCACCGGCCCGTTCGCGCTCGAAGTGTCGGGACCTTCTATGTCTGACCACATTTGTTTTGCTTTTCGGGGGGAGGGCGGGGGGGCATCGGCCACGTGCAGACGGCGGCAGGGGGGAGGGGGGGTCGGCTTCTCAGAAGCACCCCCTTGCTCCTCAGGAGGCGCGGGCCTCGCCTGCGGAGGCAGGGCCCGCGCCCTCTCGAGGACCAGCCCCCTTCCAAGGAGGCCTTCCCCCCCCGACCCCCGACCCCCTCCTGCGCGCCGCCAGGTGGAGGCGCGTGGGCCTCCCAGCCCTGATGGTCCGCTACCGAAAATTTCCGGTAGCGCTCCGCAGAGATCGGTCGCTACCGAAACACCGAAATGTAGCGCCCAATACCGGCATCAGAGCGTTCTGAAATCCGCTATTTCAGCGCCCTCGAACGAGGATCCGGTCGCTACCGAAATTCGGGGTGCGTCGAAATCGCAACCGAAAATTTCCGGTACCAGACCATCTGGGAGGGGGGAGGGCCCACCGGGGGATGCTCCTCGGGCCCGTTCGCGCCCGGGCCCTCGGGACCGCCTGTGGCGGAGCTGCCGCTCATCTCGGGCGTCGGGCGCGCCAACGTCGTCGTCGCCCCCCCCGGGAGCACCCGCGAGGTCGGAGACGCTGCGTTCGGGCCTCGCATCGGGCTGGGCGGCCGGCTTTTCGGGGGGGGGCGACGTGTTCTCTGCAGGGCACCATGAGCACCGCGCTGCGGCAGGCCTGGCAGGTGGCCTCCTGCTCCTGCCCTGCTGTCCCTCCTCTTCTTCCTCCTCCTCCTCCCCCACTCCCTCCTCCCCTATTCCCTCCTCCTCCTCCTCCTCCTCCGCCTCCTCCTCCGTTTCCTCTCGGTCCCTCCTCGCGCGTGCCCCTTCCCAGCTCCTCCCCCCCCCTTTGCGACCTGCCTTTTCTCCCCTCCTCCTCCCGCTCCTCCCCCCTGCCCTGCGTTCAGGGAGCCTGGAGCCCGGGGGCGCGAGCTCTCCTGCTTCGCACGGGCCGCAGGCCGACTTTGCTCGGTCGGCGCCGTCTCTGCCCAGGCGTCCCCCGACCTCTCTGCGCCCTCCCTGGCCCCGTCTGGCCCCGACGCCGTGCTGGGATCGGGGATTGATTCGACGCGTCCCTCGGCGAGCAAAGCCGTGCCAACTGAGCTGGGAAGGGACGGGGAGGCGACCGCTGCGTCGTCGCCACCTTCGTTCTGCTCTCCCTCGCTCGCCGCCGCCGCCTTCTCTTGCTCCCCCCTCCGGGCATGTCCTCGTTGCCCACTTGATCTTTCTTCTTCCTCCGTCCCGCGCGCCGGTGATTGCCTCGTTGTGTGTCTGTGTGAGTGTGTGTGTGTGTGTGTGTTAGAGAGTGTGTGTGTGTGTGTGCGTGTGTGTGTGTGTGCGTGTGTTCGTGTGTGATCACTCTGTACTGTTCGACCGACAGCAATGTCGACAAAGCAGTTAATGCTATTTGTTATTTCTACCACGCCCTCATTGCCCCATTCAATCACTATTCTTGCTTTTGTTTCGTCTCTCACTCTCTCTCTCCCTCTGGCTCTCTCTCTCTCTCTCTCTCTGTCCTCGTCGACCCTCGACCTTTTCCGTCCACGCATGCTTCTTTTTTCCAGCAACCTCCACGTCCACCGCACCCACCCCTCCCCCCACCCCACTTTCCAGCTCCTTCTTCTCCTGGTGTTGGTCCCCCAGTGTGTTTTTTCTTGCGGCCGCCAGGAACGACCTCAGGGACAGCAGTTGGCGCGAGCTCACCTGTCGGCCGCCTTCTCCTCTTGCGCGGCGTGCGAGGGGATGAGCAGTATAACAGGGAGCCTCATAGGGGATGCGCAGGAGAGTCGTATGATGATTGGGAAGGATACGAGCAGGCGGGCGACCAGGAGGATAAGAGCAGGAGCGCTCGGACAAGAACTAATAGCAGCAGGAGAAGGACCATAACCACGATCATACGGAGGGATATCGATACGAGGACGTGGAAGATACGCTGAGCAGAGAAGAAGACAGTCGAGGGAATCATTCAGAAGCTTGTGTGGGATTTGGCAGCAGCGCGAGCAAGATGTGGAATCGGGCAAGGGAGGGGAGGACCTGGTTTAGGAGCAACATGCGGATGCATCGCAAGAGGAGGATTTTGATGAGGTGGAGGAGGCGAAGGGTTATGATGAGATGATGAGCTTGGGGAGGAGGCGGAGAAGAAGGAGGAGGAGGAGGAGGGGGACCGGTCACTGAAGTGAGGAGAGCAGAAGGAAGGAGACGACGTCTTTCGGGAAAACGTGTGACCGCCGCGTTTGGGCATCCGATATCGTGAGTCCCTCGTACTTTGGGCGCAAGGGTCCTTGGACCCTAACGGCTGAGGAGGGGGAGGTGGAAGAGGAGGCGGAGCATTCATGGATGGATGGATGGATGGATGGATGATCACGATGATGTGAGTTACGATGGGTGATGATGGCGATGAGAAGTATGATGATGATGACTATGACGATGACGATGACGATGACGATGTTGAGTATGATGATGATACTGACGAGATGGTGATGAGGATGATGATGATGATGATGATGCTGATGAGGGTGATGCTAATGATGATGATGATGATGATGATGATGATGATGATGATGATGATGAGGATGTGGATGAGGATGAGGATGAGGATGATGCTGCTGCTGATGACGATGAGAATTGTGATGCGGATGCTGATGCTGATGCTGTTGCTGCTGTTGACTTGCGATGGTGATGGTGTGGACGATGGCGATGCTGATGATGCTGCTGATGATGATGATGCTGATGATGATGATGATGATGATGATGATGATGATTATGATGGTAATGATAATGATGATGATGAAGATGAAGATGATGCTGATGATGTTGCTGATGATGATGACGACGATAATGATGATGGTGATGATGATGATGTTGATGATGATGATTATGATGGTGGTGATGGTGGCGGTGGTGGTAATGAGTCGATGCTGATACGGAATGATGATGACGATGATGATGAGGATGACGATGATGGTGATGGTGATGGTGATGGTGATGAGGTGATGATGCTTTTGTGAATGCGTCATCGCGGGTGCTAGTAAAAGCACACAGCAGCGCTTTAAAACAGCGCCACGCTCCGGCCCCCGCGCCCCCCAACGCTACTGGATTCCCCCCCCATCCGATGGGTTCCCCCCCTTGGTTGTGGGGCGGTGCTGCGGTGCTCCCCCCTTCCCTTCCCTGTGGGTGTAGGGTTACAATATGGCAAACGCGACAAGGGCCCTCTGGGTGAAAAATCTCCCAGAAATCTTGGCGGACATCTCCAAAGATTGTTTTTTGGCATTTTCCCAACATCTCTAGAACAATTTCTGGGCTTCACAGCTGGGAATCTCCAGAAATTCTCCGGGCTGTACAAATCCCCAGGTAAATCTCAAGAGAATCTCCGCGGTGCAGGAATCTCCAGAAAATGTACCGGAAGTCGCCGGACAGTTTCCAGACTGCAGGAATCTTCGGGAAATCTTCTGGAGCACCTATGGCAAATCTCCTGACCATCTCTGGCGTGCAGAAATCTCTGGACAATCTTCGGCAATGCCCTGGAAAATCAACGGACAATATCCGGGATAACTTTCGTTGGGGATGTTGAAGCGAAGTGTTTTTGGAGATTCGCTGGAAAATTTTGAAGGCTCGACGTTCTTGTCTGTGGTTCACTGCTTTCTTTGAGGCGCCAAGATTTTCGGAGATACGACGTAAGATGTTTTGGAGGTTGGAGCTTCGCAGGAGTTCGCGGGAAGATTTCTTAGAGATTCCCGGGCGGTCGCGCTTGCCGCAGTCGACCCAGTCTGAGTGTAGGGTGGTGCGGCGGCCCCTTCAACGGAGGGAGGGGTGTCTGCACCGTCGTCGTCGTCGTCGTCGTCGTCGTCGTCGTCGTCGTCGTCGTCGCCGTCGGCGTCTCCGATCTCATCTCGGGGGCGGGGGGGCGCGCGGGCCCTCGGTGCCCCTCCCGTCCTGGGAAAGGGGAGGGGGGCCCCGCGGGCCCGCAGGCCGGGAGCATGCGTGGTGAGCGTGGTTCGGCGAGACGTAAGTCAGGAGGGGAACAAAAACACGCAGACACAATTCATCGTCGACCCCCAGGAACAAAATGCAAGAATATGGGAAGTGGGGGGGAGGACAAAAACTGAGAACATCTGGGAAAATCTGGGGAACCTTTTTATTTGTGTGTTTATATTTGTGTGTCCTGGGGCCCCTTTAGTAAGAGGGACCTTTGGCCGGAGTGACCTTTTTGGTGCGGGCGCAGACGGGCCCCCCCAGATGGCCGAGCGCGAGGCGGCAGCAGCGGCCAGCGCGCCTGGAGTTGGCCTCCCCGCGGCCCCCCAAAGGCCGCGCACCAAAGGTTGCTCTTACCCAGGGCCACTCTTACGTGTAGCCGAAGGTCAGAGCCCCGAATCATCAGGGGTAACTCGGGTCAGGGATAACTCGGGTTCGTTTCTCGGGAATCCAAACCCGAGTTACCCCGGACCCGAGTTACCCCGGATAACTCGGGCGTCCAGAGCCCCGAATCATCAGGGGTAACTCGGGTCAGGGCTAACTCGGGTTCGTTTTTTGGGAATCCAAACCCGAGTTACCCCGGACCCGAGTTACCCTGGATAACTCGGGCGCCCAATCTTACGTGTAGCCGAAGGGTGGGCTTCGTGGGGCCGCGGGAGCGTGCTGCCAGTCATGACGCCCGCCCGTAGACCAGCATAAAGGGGAACAACACGTAGCACAAGCTTAACAACTCGGAGGTCCGCGCGGATTGCTCGGATCGGCGCTGGACCCCCCTCCCTGGCGCGCGGAGCGCGCCAGGGGCGGCGCCGGAGGCGCCGCCGGGGGGCCCCAGCGCCGATACGAGAAATCCGTGCGGGCCTCCGAGTTTTTGTGTTTATGCCATTTTTCTTTTCCCTAAGTCATGACGCCCGTACGTAGACGAGTAGCAGAAACGTTTGAGACACGTAGTGAGCCAGGCATTGTCCGAGCAAAGAGGTGCAATGCTACTGTGGCCCCTTTCTTACAGCTCGCCCGTTGTAAGCCCTGGAACAGTCTGACAACGCCCTGGAGGAGGATCCCGTGGGGGGAGGAGCGACTGACTCTGCAAAAGACAGCGCGCTGCCAGAAGCCAACGATCTACGGCCGTTCTGAAGTTTGAGGGTGGCCAACGCGCCCCTCACCCGTGGAAGTCTTCTTGGACCCCGCATTGGCCAGGTGGCTTCCCAAACGTCATGCTTTACCATGAGTGGGCCTTCGCCCATCGAGGGAACGTGAGCTTTGACGTTCTGCAACGTACTCACTTACAACACTTACTCAGCATAGATATGGAAAAACCACGATGTCAGCTCTTTAGGGACAGTTGTTCCTTTCTTGGCAGACCAACGTGGCCATTGACCAGTTGCGCATCGATGTAACCCTCCGAGGCCCCACTGGCCCACCTTACAGCCCGGCATGTGGCCGCAAACTCTCCTGCAGACGTAGCACGGCGGGACAGGACTGTATGTCGCACCATTGAACTGTCCGTCGTCGTCCACAGCAGCAAATCACCAACCAGTTCTGCAAAGTTCTTGGCGACATGCTGGAAATCGCTACCGTCGCGGACGATATGTGTGTCTGTATATGTCTTGGCAGAAAAATCATTTGGACCCTGTACCAGCTCATTCGCAGACCCGAAGGTGCCAGAGAACTTCGAAGAGGGCTTCAGGAAATGGCCCCTGGGTTCAAACGCACCAGCACGAGACGGAGCGGGATCTGAACGAGTCTCAGCACGCTCAGCCGCAGAGGACTCGACCAAATGATCTCGGCGTTCTACAGTCAAGACGTCGATAGCAGGACCACTTTGGGCTAAGGATCGGCGGGGAGCGAGGAGGGGAAGTGAGAAGGAGAAGGCCCTCTCAGAAGGCGGCGGGACTTCTCAGAAGCCCTCGCGCCTTCTGAGAGGTTTTTTGGTGTCTTCGGGGAAGGCGTAGAACACATCTCAGAAGGCTGGGGGACTTCCGAGCCTTCTGCGAAGGCCTTCTCCTTCTTCCTTCCCCCCCCCTCGCTCGCCGCCAACAGGAGGGGCTCCATTTTTCGGGCCGTGGCTCATACCTATAGATTTAAGTCGGGCGTGTCCCTCTACAGGAATATATATCCAAACATAGTTTACAACAACTGTGGGGACGATGTTTGAATACCTTTGATTCTTTGGGAGCATTTTTCCCATGCTTAATTTTTCGTCCAAGCTCCGTCTGTACACCCTGCGAAATGCTTAAGAAATCATGGGTTAAGAAATTCATAGTCTCAGAACTTGGATAAAAACCCAACATTTCTATTGAAATCTTAGGATTCACATTGAAACGTTAAGAAAAATCGAGACTCTGGCCGAAAACTTACGTTTTCTTAAGCATCGCCTAAGGTGTAGGGGGACATGCCCGACCTGAGCCTAGAAGGTCGAGGAAACCCTCCGCGGCCGAGCCCCGCCGTGGCCTGGCAGAGCCCCCACCTCTGCCCCCTTGCGGCGGAGGGGCCCCCCTGCCGAGCAGCGCCCTGCCCCGGCCACCCTGGGTGCCCTGGGCGTCCCTGGGGTGCCGATGGTCTTGCCAGGGACGAGCGCGACGCTCCCCCACCGGAACCTCGACGGACGTCCTGGGGTCTCAGGGTGGGCTTTCTTGTGGAGAAGGCTTCTCGTGGTCGGGCCCCCACTGTCTTCTGCGCTCTCTGTGGTAGCGCGATGGCGGTGCACTCTAAGGGAGACTGCAGGGCCAATCATTGTGATG